CGAGTTCAGTGGAGCTTCCTGGCCGTTGAACTTACTGATGTCCTGGGAGAGTGGTGCACTCAGATTCCTGTGCTCTGGACTTTTCCTAACCTTGCCCTATGTATCTCTTCATTTGGCCGTTTATTTGTATCCTTTGTGATAAAATGGCAATCATGAGTATAGAGCGCTCCTGAGTTCTGTGAATTTTTCTAGCAAACTTTAAAACCTGAGAGGGTTGTGAGAAACCTTGAATGTGTAGTGGGCCAGGCAGAAATGTAAGTATCTTGGAGATACCTGAAAGTTGTAACCAGTATTTGAAGGGTGGCAGTCTTGTGAGACAGAGCCCCTAACTCTTGATGTTTTTGCTAACTTTGGGTAGAGTTAGAATTGAACTAAATTGTAGGACACCCTGCTGGTGTCAAAAAATTGGTATCAGAACATACAAAGAAAATCAGGAGCTATCCCAATGCCCCTTGGATCTGCAGAGGTTTTCTAATGTGGACCAATGAAAAAAATTAAATATTGTAACACTAGAAATTGTGGATTTTATAAGACAGCTACATAGAGCAAACAGTACATTTAACGTAGCTTTTAATAATCAGGTGATCTTGGAGAAATCACTTGACATTGAAGATTCTCAGTTTCCACATCTTTAAAACTGAGGATAATGATGCTTTCCTGTAGTTAATTTTGTGTCTACTTGGCTGCACCACAATGCCAGATAGTTGGTCAGATGTTATTCCAGATATTTCTGTGAGAGTGTTTTGAATGAGACTTACTTTTAAACTGGTGAACTTTGAGTAAAGTAGATTGGCCTCCATAATTTTGGTGGGCCTCATCCAATCAGCTGAAAGCCTGACTAAACCAAAAGATTGACCTCTCCTGAGGAAGAGGGAATTCTGCCAGCAGACAACCTTTGGACTTCAACTGAAACATTGGTTGGATCCTCACGTTGGTCTCCAACCTGCTGACCCACACAACAGACTTTTGACTTGCCAGCCTCCATAATTGTGTGAATCAGTCCCTTAAAAATAACCTCTCTCCCTCTCTCTATATCTGTGTCTTTATCTATATCTACATCTACAAAAGTACAAAGTGGAAGTTGCTCAGCCATGTCTGGCTCTTTGCGACCCCATGGACTATACAGTTCATAGAATTCTCAAGGCTGAAATACTGGAGTGGGTAGGCTTTCCCTTCTCCAGGGTATCTTCCCAACCCAGGGATCAAACCCAGGTCTCCCGCACTGCAGGCGGATTCTTTACCAGTTGAGTCACCAAGGAAACCCATCTATATCTACATCTATATACAAATTGATTAATGGGGCTTCCCTGATGGCTTAGTTAGTAAAGAATCTGTCTGCCATGCAGGAGACCCTGCAATGCAGGAATCCTTGGGTCAGGAAGAACCCCTGTAGAAGGGAAAGGCTACCCACCCCAGTATTGTGGTCTGGAGAATTCCATTGACAGATGAGCACTGTGGGCTACAGTCTATGGTGTCTCAGAGTTGGACACAACTGAGCAACTAACACACACATACATATACTAATGTACACACACATATATACATATAGGGGCTTCCCCAGTGGCTGAGACAGTAAAGAATCTGCCTGCAATGTGGGAGACCTGGGTTCGATCCCTGGGTTGGGAAGATCCTCTGGAGGAGGGTAGCAACCCAGTCCAGTATTCTTGCCTGGAGAATCCCCATGGATGGAGGAGCTTGGCAGGCTATAGTCCATGGAGTCGCAAAGAGTCGGACATGACTGAGTGACTAGGCATAGCACAGCATGTACACGTAGAGTATGTATATATGTATATGCTTTGAGGTTAACAAGGTAGTTTCACAGACTTTATCTTAATTAATTCTCATAATAATCAGGTGAGGTAGTGTATTAGTCAAGGTTCTCCAGAGAAACAGTACAATAAGATGTATACATACATGTGTACACACACACAGAGGTACACATTCCTGCATGTATACAGACAGATTACATACATGTATGCACACGTTTATATATATATACATTTGTATAATTAAATAATGTCTGTGATGCTACTCTGTGAACTTCAAAGCATTGTAAAATGTAGTCCCTCTAGGACATGTAATGTGTACTGAACGTTGTGTCGAGTCTTTACAGACATATGAATTAATGTCTACAAATGTGGTCTCAGATGGATGTTACAGGCAGATGGATCTGAACCATCACAGAAGAAGCAACAGCAGAAAGAGTAGTTTTCTGGCCTTCCATTCTGGACTAGTATAGCACCTGTTTCAGGTTTACAGTGGAAATAAAGTCTATGTGGACAGGAAAGCACGTGGCTTAGTTAGCTTAGTTCAGCGTACTTACCTAGCATCTGGCACAGTGTTTTGATAGTCATTGTCCAGATAACTGCTGAAGGATAGGTGACTTTATTTATGTGATCACCCAAAAAGCACATTTTGTGAGTAACTAGGTGGAAAGCACTAAATACCTCAGACTTAACATAAAGAACTTACTTAGCCTCTAGCATGGAGGATTATTGGAAAGTGCATCTGTGTTGAATCTGCTCATGCTGCTGATGAGTTAAAGGTCCATTAATCCTAGTCTGTATACTGGAATCTTAGTTTGGCTGGGATAGGTTAAAGCCACACACTCAGAATACCTCAGTGAATAAATCCACAGCCAGCCTTCACTCTGAAACAAATGGCTTTGCTTCCTTGGGCCTTTGCTGAACTTTGCTTAATAACAAGGTACAAATATAGCTTGATGGAAAAGTCAGAACCATTACACTGAATAAATGCTTATAAACTCCAGAGCTATAACTGGAAGGCACACTCTGCCCAGTGTCACTTGTCAACTCAGATCTCTAGATGACACTTCTTGTAGCAGTCAATGGCCAGTCTGAATTGAACTAGCATGCTTCACAACTTTATGGATTGTGGTTTATGTGGGCAGATATTTTGAGACTCAGTTGTGGAAGAATATGGTTGCTTTCAAAACATTCTAGGCAAAAGCTTTGGTCTGAGAAATGAGACCAGACTTCTAATCTTGTTGATATTTTGGGAATTATGTCATCACAGTGATATTTCCAGGCTGCTCTGGATATGGCCAGTAAGGGAGAGACCATCAAGACAGTCTGTCTTAAATAAAGACAACAGTGGGATACTATTTTCCACTTACAAAATTGGAAAAAACAACTTGAAAATAATACCCAGTATTGCTGAGACTATATCTCTACACTGCTGACTAGAAGGCCATTTATCCCCCTCCAAAAGAAATCTTTAAAAACACACATATCATTTGACTCCAAAATTCTACTTCTGAAAATGTTTTCCAAGAGAATAATCTCATCTCAGCAACAATTCATCCATTAGTGTGTGTTAAATAAGTGTTGCTTGTAATAGTGAAAAATTAGAAATCACTGAACTATCCAGCAGTAGTGAATTACCTGAAAGAATTTAACTATATTCATGTGAAGGAATAGTATGCAACTGTTAAAAATAAGGTTGTAAAATAATATATGATGACATGGGAATTTGTTCATACTCAATTGCTGAGTTAAAAAATAGTTTGCAAACTCTATGAACAAAATAGGTCTATATTTGCTTTAAAAATTAAGTAAAAGAATGATCTGTACATGTGCATAGAAGAGAGGCTAGAAGACATACATTAAAATGTTAATAGCATCTGTTTAGGTGGTAATTTTTGTAGGTGATTTTTACCATCTCCTTTATGCTTCCCCTAGCAAGATTTCTGTAGTAAATATTACATCAACAATTGCGAGAGGTGGAAGGTAGCTTTCAACATTTCAAACAAAATGAATAGCAAACTAAAAAACCTAAAATGAATTAGAATTGTCCATTAATAGAGGAGCAAGTACATTTTACAGTGCTATGATTAAACCCTGGCACATTATAGGACTTTACATTCTAAGGCAGTTAGTTAAAAATGATTTATACAAGTCATGATGGTTCATAAGGGTCTTAAAATTTTTTGCTATTTTCATTTAATAGGAAGTATTTTCTACCCACACTGTGCTAAGCCTTGGACAGCATGAAGTCCAGAGACTGAAGCAGGAAGGTAGCTTGACACGTTCACATGAATGCTAGCACACAGATGCCACCTTACAAATGGGAGGGTTCAGCCCTTCAGACAACACACTCCATGCTACTGAAATCTAAAACTGTATCTATAGAAAAAGAAACAGCTTGTAGCGAGATCTGTCTGCCTGTGAGGGTATTGAGAAGTTAGAAATACCTGGGGTAAATCCTTAACATCTGGATGGTGATGTCATCCATGACACCCAGGCTTTTCTACAGCTGTCCTTGGTGTCCCTGACAGAATGGACTGAGGGATCATCCTGTCTATTCATGTCAACCATCTGCTGCTAACTGATGCAGCTGGCTGAGCAGTGGACCTGAAGTTTTAAGACTGATGGTGAAAATGGCTGCAAGGTAGATAGTTCAGTCTGAATGAGTGCCCATCTTGTGAAATGTGACACTTTCCCCTGTCTGTCTTCATCTGTTCCAGAGCCATAAGAGGGAAAGACCCAAGAATGTATTTATTTCACCTATAAATGAATGAGCCAGAGATTGATACAAGACTGGACTCTTAATCCCAAAGGGTACCATTAGTGGTTGGACAAGGGAGAATGTCCAGACTAACTTAAAGCCATTCTTAGCAGATTCCCCCTGTAGCTGATTCAGCCTTACCTAGATAGGTGTTTTGAATTACACAAAATCCAGAAAACTCTAGAAAAATGACAGTGTCTGGAAATGTAACCACATATGTTTCAGAATGACAATTCCAAGGACTAGGCATTTTCTATGGTCTTATGTAGCCCTTTAAAAACCAACAGTGAATACAAGTAAACTCACCCTTAGGCATCACTGTTATGTGTATTCTCAGAGTTTAAAAATGGAAGATTGCAAAGCATTTCACAAGAGAGATTCACAACAGGTACTTCCCCAGCCCACCATCCTTCCAAGAATGCAAATGGACAGGAGGTCACAAAACATACCACCCGTTAGCTTGACTGACTCACCTTGATGTTGCTGTTCCTCTGGAAGCTTCAGTCTACAGGTGTGCAAACTGTTGATTAGGTGGCTGCTGCCTTTTCTTTGTATGGTAGACATGGTACTGGCTGTATGGCTGTGGCTCCAGGATAGTAGGGTATCCCTTCCCTTGGCCCGTCACCAAGAACAGTGTTCACACGTTACCCACAGCCACAGAGGTACAAGCAGATCCTGTCCTTGCCTGGAAAAGCATTTACTTCTCTAATGCACTTCCAAGTGCTTCGTAGTCATGATTCTTGAAATAAATATTTACCAACTTGTAGCTTCTCCTACACATAAAGATGTCAATTCATTTGGATAAAAGCACAATTAATTCTTCTTCCATTTCAAAGCACATTGGAACTTCCCCCCTTACAGTGTAAAATCCTGCAAAGTAACCCTTTTTCTAACAGATTATAGTCTCGCAATTATTGACTCCTTCTGCTGATGTGAAGCTAATGTCCTGAGTATTTAGAGATGACTGCAGAGTAACACATACACAAAGGAGAAAAAAAGCGCTACTGAGCTAAATCAAGTGATTTCTAAGCCTGGTCTGAGTTACCCTCTGTGACAGCTGAAAGTGAACAGTTCTTAAGGGAGGCTGGAAGAAGGAGGGGCCGAATGGACTAGGCTGATTAGCATAAAGAGGCCGGCGAAAAATGGCATTAGAGTGCTTTGAATGATAGTGACCAAAGCAGGATTCTAAAAAGATGCCCTGATACTGCAGTAATCACGTATCTGACTTCTGCTGCTTTGTAATTAAAGGGAAAGCTCAAAGCAAGAGTTTTTACCACGTGGCTATTCACTTGTGTACGTGAAAATTAAAGGAACTGCTAATGAGCTCATGGAAATGTACTGCTAGAACTTTCAACTTCTGTAAACACCTTTGAGTCTTCAGAAGGGGGCAGCTTTAGAGCCGCCTGCTGCCAAAGCAATTATTTGGAGTTCGGGAAGAAAAATAAACACAGAAAACATTATCTTTCCACAGATCTATCTCTGTTTCCCCTTAGATTATCTATTACTATTTTCAGATCATAAGACAAAGCTATTTCCAGTGTTTTCTTGTGCTGAAATAGCATACTTCACTGAAATGTTGAAAATCGTTTATATTATAGCATATAAAAGCATATTTCATTACAGCTTGAAAACAAATCCTGAACACCCTTCGTGGAACTTGGGAGCTGCTACCCCTGAAGTTTTAATGAATGCTGGTAGATCCTGCCCTTCAAGACTCACAGGTCTTATATATTCAGAAATGAGGTTGTGGGCCAGGACGAAGGGAAAGGCAGAACTGTTTAGCCAGAGTCTGGAACCCGCATCTTCCAGGGCACCAGGGAAACTGGTACTAACAGCTAGGGTATCTAGTTGACACCCTAACTAGAAGTTTACCTCATAGTCAGATCCTGGTGGGAATCCTCATTTCACTCTGAGGTACCCAAGAGTTCCCCAAGAGTACTCTGAGCTATGAAAGCTTTTATGGAATGCGTGATTGCTCTTTAATAATTCTTATGCTTTTTATCAAACTGCTTTTACTATATATATATATAATTTCAATATATTATTCAGCTATTGCAGTTTTTTAAGTACCTCAGAGAGTAACAGCTTATAGAAGTGTTTAGCTACACTGAAAGAGAGGATTCTTGTTATGAGAGAACCATAGTTTCTGCTTTAAATGGCTAGTATTATTTCCTGCTTCACAATGGTCATGGTAGGGGACTGAGGTATTGTTTTGCTGAGTTACATAAAGCTACTGATATTCTATCAGATTGTGGGTCTCACTAAACATATTATTATATAAATAAATCAAATACCCCACAAAACTACAAGCAAGCCCTTGGGAAAAATTGATATTTTAAAAAGTGTTTTATAATGAGAACTTTTTTATCTACCTATCTATCTGAATAAGAAAAAAGAATATAGCATAATAAGTCCTATGCACTCATTGGTTAGAGTTAGTCATTAGTAGCTCATGCATAATCTTGTTGCAAATCTGTGTTTCATCACAACCCCCTTCCATTTCACTCCACCACTTGAAGCATCCTAGACATCATTGCATTCATACATATTTCAATATGTCTTCCTAAAATGCTGCTGCTGCTGCTGCTAAGACACCTCAGTTGTGTATGACTCTGTGCGACCCCATAGACGGCAGCCCACCAGGCTTCCCCGTCCCTGGGATTCTCCAGGCAAGAACACTGGAGTGGGTTGCCATTTCCTTCTCCAGTGCATGAAAGTAAAAGCGAAAGTGGAGCCACTTAGTCGTGTCTGACTCTTAGTGACCCTATGGACTGCAGGCTACCAGGCTCTTCCATCCACGGGATTCTCCAGGCAAGAGTACTAGAGTGGGTTGCCATTGCCTTCTCCATCCTAAAATGCTAGGACTTTGAATAATGGAACCATAATAAAAGTGTCACCCTTTTAATAATTAAACATGATTCCTTAGTGTAATTAAATATCCAGGTATTATTTTGTTCAAATTGGGACCCAAAAGTCCACCCATTGTATTTGGTTGCTAAGTCTCTTAAATCTTTTTCATTCTGTAGGTTTCTCGCTGGGAAATGTTGCTTGGGGACTCGAATCTACATTTATCCTAATGTAAGGTCTAGTGTTTCAACGAAGTCCCCTTGATGCCTCCATCACTCTTACTCATGAATGGATAGAAAGCTGGAAAAAACACAAGAAAAGGAATGCTCAGCTGACCATAGAGGCTATCAGCCAGCTTTCTAGCCCCAGAGCTCATACTGTGTAACCCTTAACCTGGATTTTCTGTGTCCAACTGTCGTGCATCATTGAGTGAGTCCTGGGCAATGGCCCTGCAGTTGAGTCAAGAGCATGCTCTTACACTGCGTATTTAGTTACACTTCTGCTCTCCGAGGACTGTGACTCTCCAGTTTCCACTGGAAATAAGCCAGTGTCGCTGAGAGCAGCGTGTCATAGGAGTATATGAGATAACACCAGCTGTATCAGCCATAAGCCCAGACACACCACGAAGTTAGTCATTCATAATGGGCATGTTGTACTTTGCTTTTTGCTTATAAAAAAAAAGCAAGAAGTCAGAATACAAGAGGTGAAGTCTGGTTGGGTCAAGAAAGAGGTGAATGATATTTGGCATTTTTGCTTGCAGATTGTTTAAAAATGAATTAGAATCCTCCAAAAGCCAAGCTTCTTCACTTATCAGCTCTCTCTGATGCCACAATGATGCCACCAGTTTCCTTGGTTTGGGTTCTTCTCTCCTGTATCTTTTCTGCCTATCCTGTGGCTTTGTACTCCCAGAAGAAAAGAGTAGAATGGCATGTCACACTTGGACAGTTGATATTGTCAATCTTATCAGACAGTTGATCTTATTGCTTTGGAGTGCTACTGGAAAAATTGATATTTTATGATTAGAATTCTCAGAAAGCTATGAATTCTAACCATAAAATATCAGTTTTATAATCTAAGTGGTTCTCAGGTTATAGGAGAAATTTCTTTATCCTTCTTTCAATTGAGCCATATTTAAAAAGCATCATACATTATACATGCATTGTACATTAGCTCACAAGTGAGTTACTTTTTTAATAATAATGAAGTATGTATGATATCTACTTGACAGGTTTACCTACTCTTTGAGGGTCTTTAGAGTTTTCTGAAGTACAAGTATCATGTAAATACAAAGCAGTAGTATTCATCACTCTCATTGTCAGAGCATACGACTCAAGACCCTTAATATTATAGAATGCAGACACAGAAAACTATGAGACACAGAAAGCTTAATGCAGTTCAAGTCTGAACTAGTGTTAAGACTTTAGATTTTCTATGATTTTAAATAACAGATCCTTGCTCCTTTATATCAGCCGGTGGTAGTTTTTTGGTTTTGCTTTTTTTTTTTCCAAATTACTCTTCCTTCCACCAAAGATATTGTGTGGATGAGAATGTTGAGCTTCAGAATCTCACAATGGCTTATTTAACATGTATATCCAAGAATCTGCCTGCAATGCAGGAGACCAGGGTTTGGTCCCTGGGTCGGGAAGATCCTCTGGAGAAGGGAATGGCAATCCACTCCAGTATTCTTGCCTGGAGAATCCATGGACAGAGAAGCCTGGTGGGCTACAGTCTGTGGGGTCACAAAGAGTCAGACATGACTGAGCGACAAACACACACATCCTAATGTACCATCAAGGCAGTATTTTGAAGCAGTTCAGAGTTGTGTTACTCTTAAGTTACTGCATGTCTTTAGCTCAAAGAATTTCCCAAGTAATACAGTTGGTTTGACCCACTGATTGCTATTTGGAAAAACAAAACAGAGGCAAATGGTTGTATTAGAGATTGTTTTGCTTGAATACTTGCTCTTGTCAATAGGTTCTTGAGGCTACATGGCGTGGCACCAAATTGCTTACTTAAGTTGCTTGCTATTCTAAAATTGCTACTGTTGAATGCCAACATGTGAGCTTAGGTTATCAGAAATGTTGCCACACTCCATAAACATTGCCTTGGTAATTCAAACTAATTTTGGACCTTTCATGAGTGAGTCTCAGATTTGACTGCCATAGGGCTCCCTCTGGAGGTCAGCAGAGTCCAAGGTCAATTAGTAAAACCCGCAATAAACCCATGTGTTTTTACCCACTGCCCACAAGAATGGGGTCTTTTATTTGTGAGCTGAGGGAATGATCACCCGTATCTGAGACTATAGGAAGGTTACCTGATTATGGATGTGATTTGGTCATTGCTGCATGTCTATATTTAATCTCTGTAATTTTATGTTTTTCTATCTTTATTGAAGGCTTCTGGCCAAAATGAAAACACAACAAAATAAAGCCATAGGTAGAAAAATACTGAATTTTATTTTGTTTGTTTGTTTTAAGTGGCAAGGAAACTCAGAATATAGTGGTTCTGTTTCCATATTGTCCACCATTCTAGGTAACAGCACATACTCTTACAGAGTCTTAATTCCATCTAAAAGTATTTGAAGTACACAGGCATCAGTGTCAGTGGATTCTCAGCAGAATTGAACTCTTTGAAGGTAAATACTCATTAATCGGGATCATTTCCAAATTAAAGCAAACTAACTTGCACCAGATCAAACTCTTGTTATTCATTTGAAT